GATTTGTGCGGAAAACAGTATTGATAATACAGGGATGTTTTCGTTATTGTTGAGCAGTACTTGCACAGAGACAAGGCCTTCTCTGCTTCTCACACCACCCCACCAGCGAGTAGGCTGGGGGTGCACAAGAAGGCAGGAGGGGACACAGCTGGGACAGCTGACCCCAACTGACCAAAGGGATATTCCATACCATATGACATCATGCTCAGCATATAAAGCTGGGGGAAGAAGGAAGGGAGGGATGTCCAAAGTTATGGCATTTGTCTTCCCAAGTAACCGTTACGCATGATGGAGCCCTGCTTTCCTGGAAATGGCTGAACATCTGTGTGCTGATGGGAAGGAGTGAATGAACTCCTTGTTTTGCTTTGCTTGAATGTGTGGCTTTTGCTTTACCTATTATACTGTCTTTATCTCAACTCACAAGTTTTCTCACTTTTCTGATTCTCTCCCCCATCCCACGGGGCGGGGAGAGTGAGTGAGCAGCTCTGTGGTGCTTAGTCGCTGGCTGGGGTTAAACCAAGATAGTCCTTTTAGAAAATTAACTCTATCCCAGCCAAAATCAGCACAACTGTGTGTACATTTAACTAATGAAGAAAAATTAAACATTAGTTAGGAAATCAGATTCTCATGAGATGCTTCCAAGTATAATGTAGAAACTCCTGGTGAAAATATCCTTGCAATCCCAACTAGAGAGCTAGTACAAATTCATGCAAAAGTGAAAATCACCTTATATAAATATGGTACCCGGTGAAACCACTGGGATCCAATTAGTTATGTGCGTGTCTTCTGTTTCCAATGTTATGACAGTCAAAAATCTATCAGATGGTGATGTTTTTCAAGGAATTTTTTTAAAGAGCTCCTATATATTTACACACACAACTGAATGGGCTTGGTTATTTGTGTATACAAATAGCTATCTCCATATCTAATTAAGCAGGACTGCAAATTCTGACATTAATGCTCATTGTACAAAGATTTAGTATGTGGATCAACGCCATTATCAGGCCAAATTCAGAAAGGTAATCTGAATATGGTCAGATTTTACTTGACAGTAACCACAAATATATCCCCACAGTAAATATCTGAATTCATACATAAAAGTGAAAATTGCTGGAACCTATTAGCAGGTAGTCTTATTACGCTATCACAGTTGCTTTTAAAAAAAAAAAAAAAAACAAATGACTATTTTTCAAATGCAAAACTAAGAAAATAAGAATGTGATATTTTATAAAGTTTTTTACACTGTTCTGATGCTAAAATGCCTTGTGCTGTAAGTGGAATTTTTGCAGGTCATTGGTTTATAATGCAAACCAGAACCTTTGGGTATTTTTAAAGGAAAACAAAGGTGGAAGGAAAACAAGCTGAGCTGTTGTCTTTATACCAGCATAGCAAACTGCATTTCTAAGCATCTGATTCAACTAAAGCTCTACCTTTCATATGGTTTTAGTGGCAGATGCTATAGTGTCCTGGTTTTAGCTGGGATAGAGTTAATTTTCGTCTTGGTAGCCGGTATGGGGCTGTGTTTTGGGTTTAGGATGAGAACAATGTCGACGATACACTGATGCTTTGGTTCTTGATAAGTAGTGCTTAGTGTTGCTAAATACGTGCTAAGTGGCGCTCACACTGGTCAAGGATTTTTTCAGCTTCCCCTGCTCTGCCAGGTGCACAAGAAGTTGGGAGGGGGCACAGCCAGGGGGGCTGACCCAAACTGGCCCAAGGGCTATTCCATACCATATGACGTCATGCTCAGTATATAAGCTGGGGGAGGAAGAAGGAAGGGGGGGACATTGGGTATGATGGCGTTTGTCTTCCCAAGTAACCGTTACGCGTGATGGAGCCCTGCTTTCCTGGAGATGGCTGAACACCTGCCTGCCGATGGGAAGCAGTGAATGAATTCCTCGTTTTGCTTTGCTTGTGTGCACAGTTTTTGCTTTGCCTATTTAACTGTTCTAATTTATTTTACTTCAATTATTAAACTGTTCTTATCTCAACCCATGAGTTTTCTCCCTTTTACCCTTCTGATTTTCTCCCCCATCCCACTGGTGGGGAGTGAGCGAGCGGCTGCGTGGTGCTTAGTTGCTGGCTGGGGTTAAACCACGACACTATAGTGACAATGAAAGTGACTGAAATACATGCTGAGGCTCTTTGCAAGTAGTATCATGATATACACCATGCTTCTAAGATAGGAGCGATACCCAGTGTATCAACCATACATAAAGAAGACCAGAACCTAATTTTCAATCCTCTTATCTCATCCCCCAGTGTCTCCTTTCTCTTTTATTTTTTATTGGGAGGAGACAGAAGGTTGTCACAACATTTATTTCTATGGCAGCTTCGACTCCCCCACCGGTTTTCTGCTCCGTGCCTGTGACTGACACTTAGTTCTGCCTGAAGGACAAGGACAGGACAGACTTCTGAGTGCCAATCAATGGAGCATGCCACATGCTATAATTGAAAAATACAGTGCTTCTGCAATAAGATGAGGACATCATTTTTAGTGGTAAAGAGAATTAAAGTGAGTAATACATGGCTCGCATTTATTTTTATGGCACTTAACATGGCCAAAAGAAACGAACCTCACCTACAGAATTTGGATCCAAATCTAACTGCCTGTAATTCAGCAATGCTCAGATCAAGGTTAAGCCCCATCTTTTATTTCATCTGCAGAGCATGAGACCTTTTCAGCCTGATCATCCTACTCTGATGTCCTGATGTGCCTTCACCCAAGTTATCTGTTAGCTTGGCACACAAAATGGCATAGCACAGCAAGCCAGTGTTAGTAAATCTGTGAAATTATCCAAATTCACATCCCTAATCTCAGGCCATCTTGTACCATTATGTATTTTCCTTAGGCTCTTCTTCTTTTATGGAACCTTCTCTAGCAAAACAATGCAGGATGTACTTAGGAAAAGCCTATCCTTCCAAATAGCGCATGGTCCCCCACTTCTCTAAAGCGAGCAAAACATGGCTAAACACCTGTAGAGACCTACCTTAGCAGTCTGTGAACCAAGCTAAGGAAAGTTGTCCTTAGGAATCCCACTGCTGATAGGAGAAACAAAAGCATCACAAGGACTTGCCTAAGGTCACAAAGCAAGTAAATAGCAGAACGACACTAAGTACTACTGCTTCTCTTTTTACCTTCCCTTCTGGCAGCGATTTCTAACGGGTGATTTGGGAAGTTATATACCTTTCAAAAGGTAAGTGAATGTATTTAGAAACTCTTCATATGACTGCTCATGGCTATTAATAAATTGATCAAGGATGCTGTTGTTTAACAGTTGTTCTCCCATGATCCACAGCTTGACAGTCGAACAGGTTTATCTGCTTTAGTAGGCTGCCTCTGCAATAGAAAGAAAAGAGCCATATGTATCTGTAGGCAGAAAACAAATTAACTGAAGAGTCCCTAATTCACATAGATAAGCATCAGACTGCCAAATTTTTCTTCTCTCCTTGTGAAGTTCTGATCTTGTCAGTGGGACTTTACACAACATTTCCCCCAAAATTCATGTGGACATAGTAATTTTAAGTGCAAAGGGAGAGACTGTGATCATCTATGCCTGAAATTTATGTCCTTGGGTAATATGGGCCACAGAAGTGCCAGCCCCTCTCAGTGGTGTTCATTCCCCCTTGTTTTAAGTTGTTCCGTCTTAAAACCCCTGCCTTCTTTGCAGAAACAGTGACACCACTCACTAGCATGTTGGATTTAACAACTGGGACACCTGCACATTCAAAACTTGGACTGAATCCATCATTCTGCAGGTGCACTGCTCACTGTACCATCAAAGCCACTAAACCCAGGTTATGAAGGGCATGTTAAATCATGATGAGATGTGTGTGTATGTTGAGACAGCACAGAGGACAGGGAGGGTATGATGGAACTGGGCAGCCACAGGGGAAGGCGAGGACCACTCTCAAGAAGGGAAGAAATGCTGAGAGCTGACGAAACCCCATAGAGGCTTTTCTGGACTTGGAAGTTCCACTTCAGTCACACAGCAACAGCTTTCCAGCTCATCTTCGTCACCTTACCAGATTCTAAGGGAAGTAATGGCCCTGAAACAGCTCTCAATGAAGTATGATGAAGTTAACCTTGCCCCTCACTTATAAAAGCTGTGCAAATGCATTTTAACAGCTGTGTGATGCTAAATAGTTAATAATATGACTAATTTTTTATACACATAAGACCAGATTACTAAAAGCAGAAAAACACAGGTGAGGATGTGGACATACATAACTGGCACGTTGTCTCACACAGTGGCAACTTAACTAAAAAATGTAAATGACCTGTTTGCATACATAAATGTGATAAAGATGCAAGCATGCTATACACTAAGTGCTTGATTTTCATGTGTTCCTGTGTTTCTTCTCTTGATTTACCACAGTATTAAGAAGTGTCTGTTGGGAATGAAAGCTTAATTCTTCAGCAAAACTTCAAATCAACTACACTACAGAAAAGCTGCCAACCTGATTTTAAAGTTAAATAAGACCAAACAAGAATTGTTCAGAGCCCAGCAGGAAAACAAAACATGATTTCTAAGGTCAAGCTCTAATCTTATTGGATTGCGATCTTGTAAAGAAGACTTATTGTCTGAAGATATAAAAACACACGCACACCCACGTGACCTAAAGTTTAACTTTTCTAATGTTTTACAAAAAACAAACCAGTATTAATGTCTCTGTGGACTGACCAAGCAGAATATAATTTACTAGACTCTCGGAGTGGTTTATGCAAATTACAGTGGTTTCAGAGGGAAGTAATGCCTTCTATTCCTCATTATTGTTCAGTTATTACAGTCATTATTTGAGGTAAATTTCATTATATGAAAGACTGCAGTGATTTGTGAGGCTAGTGTCAAAGAAAAAAAATATACATATATTTAATCAAGAAAATGGTAATAACAACCTTTTGGTTTTCTTTGGCATCTGGCGCCTAGGATCTCCAAGTCCTTTATAAACACTAATGAAATAAACTTCACAATAGTCCCATGAGGAAAAGCAAACAAATGTTATTTCAAGTAACAGATAAAAAAACTGAGTCACCAAGAGTTTAAATGACTTATAAACAAATCAGAGGAAGGCCGGCAATAAAGCTTAGATTCCTTTACTCTAAAATGCTCTAGGAAGCTAGAAAATTGATAAGCAATTTGGGGGAACAGTTGTATCCTTAACCAAGCCAAATGGCAGCTTTCTCAGTGAATGCCATTCTCTACAGCCACTGGGTCATCAGCCTGAGATTAAGCATCCAGACCAGGTGTTAGCAAAATGCTATAGCTCGATTCTTACTCTGCTGCGCAGCCTCTACTTCCTACAGAACCTGGGAAACTTCACTTCAGATTTTAACATCCTCTACTGGTTAAGCTGTAGAGGAGCAATAGTGCAACAAGACTTTGGACAAACATCAGGTTTTAACTCATTACAGTTAGCTAGGAAATGCAGTGCTGGATTCAACTCGACAGAGTTTTAGCCAAACCGCAATTGCAAAATCCTGAACATTAGCCTCATGAAAAAGCAAGCACTGGATGCTGTTAGAATATAATCTAACATTTAATACCTGAAATCTCCTGACATATGGAGGTTAGGAAGTGATCCCCAAAGATTTTAAACATATATTTCACTGAGCCTATACATTTTCATCTAGTATGCACTTCAATATGTACGCATTGGGAGAAGCATCATCAAAACAGTATTACTTTAAAAAAATAGCAGAGAAAATTCCCTGGATATTCCAAGCATGAGAAAAGATTACTTTCTCAAGAATAACAGCTTTTTTTACCAGAAAATTGACCAAATTTTTACCCAAGTCAAAGCAGTAAATCCAGAGTAGCTCTCCTATAGCCAATATAGTTATTACAGGCTTTAGTATATAGGATCTGCTATCAGCGATGTCAAAGGTACTCACCTTGGCTTAAGAAAATAAAATAACTTGTAATTCATAGGCCACATTTCCTTATTTTTTCTTCTGAAAAAAAAAAAAAAAGAATACATTTTGGAACGTGAGTTCACTAAATTATTCATATTTTAATAAATCCTAAATTGGAAAAGAGGGGAGAAAACCCTATTTGTCATTTTGGCATCCATCCTCCATTGCTTTTTATAAGAGCTTCACAGTTTTGCTTCAAAAATCTAAAGCAAGAAATAAAATGAAAAATGGACTACAGAGGTGATAGTCGAACACAGACCTAATCTTCCCTTGCACAGCTGCGTCTACAGAATCATCTCCTCATGGACAGGAAAAAACAGCTAGGTCCTAATAAAAGCCTAGGTTCTGTCAGAAGAACAGCCATTCATTCAGACAATAGAGAGGAGAGACTGGCAGCTAGAACTATCTGTCCCAGACCCATTTTCAAACATTTTGAAGAACTGCAGGGTGCTATTGCATCACCCTAAATGAAAGCAAGCACAGAGGATGGTATTTGGAGAACATCTACTTTACCTGAAACTGAACATATGGTCAGGATGGATGGTACAATAGAGGTGCTCAGAAACATGTCTCAACCTATCAAGGTTTTTGTATTTTTCATTCCACTTTGGTTTTCTGCTGCTTCCCACCTATTTTATTCCTGAGTCTCTCTTAAAGGAACAACATACTGTGTCAGCTGCAGAGAAGTTTTGTGATGTGAACAGCTGAAACCAGGCTGACCAGAAGACTCTCACCTTTGCTAAAGAGCTAACCAGTAGATTCTACATAAGTAAAAGGCTTCAGCAATCATCCAATTCACAGCCTCAAGGCAAAGACTTCTTTGAACTGTCATGAAAAAAGAAAAAAATGTACAATAATGGATTGGAATCACCAACAATTTATTGGATACAATCACACCTCTATGAATGAAATGACTGCATTGTTCTGCCAGAGAATAACTACTAATGAAATAAAAAACTTATCTTCCTTTCCCAAAAGGCATCAAACTAACTTGGAGGTTTCAGTGAAAGTAAGGCAAGGGTATCTGATCCTTTCCCCATGCTGGCTCTGGATAGTTTTAGAGTCAAATATCAGTAAGTGATGCATTCAAGCAGCGACTATACTTTCTTCTTTTTGTATTCCACTCCTGCTTATGCATCCTAATTACTGTAATGAGGTTTCTTGAGGCGATCATTCATTAAGCTTTGCTGATCATCAGCAGATTGTGCAAAATCAATTTTAGTTCTCAAAATGCAGTCTTCTTCCCAGCAGTTTAAGCCAAACCAGAAATCTCTGCATTGAATCACATGGGCAGGTCAAGTGAGTATTAGCATGATTATAATTACACAGTAATTAGTTCTATTAAACAATAAAAAATGTGGTGGAATATAGGCTTCCTGTTTTATGCTGCATTTTTGAGTGCTTTATTGTGTTTCTTTTATATATAATATAGGCAATGAAAGAAAAATCAAGATTCTAATTTTTTAAATGGAAAGTACAATAAGCTAATCCTCTCTACAAGCTCACTAAAACCTTACATAATTTTATTTTTCCAGGAAATAAAAAAAAACTTCCCTAGTGATTCTGGCATAGGTTAAAGTCAGGTTTCCACACTATGAATTTGCTCTCCCAAAAGTCATTCTGAATAAAAACAGGGATACTCAGAAATGTTTATTTATCCATCACTCATAGGTTCATGGAAAGCATCACTAGATACACCTGTTCTTGAGATTTTATAACCTATGTCTGCACAAATCAGGTTGAACACAAATACATTATTTTTACATCTTATACTCTGTTACCACTGGACAATGCCTAATCTTTTTTCCCTATAGAGGTAGCACAGTAACTACACCTGTCACAACTAACTTTTTTCAAAGGGGTCTTTACTTCAGATCTAACTAACATCTCATAAAAGCAATCCTACACTCTTACAACCCACAATACAGAACTAAGGAACAAGTACTTCTATAACACCTCTCATCCATAAAGGTTTTACGTGTCAGTCTGCAGTAGACACCTTGATTCTGGGGACTCTCTTGGCCTGCTAGTTCAGCAACATAAAAGCTGTCACTAGTGATGGGGCGGGCTGCTAAAGGCAATGCAGAAATGATCTCTGTGGGTTGACTGCTCATATAGTTAGGCAATGTTGCAGGAGTATAGGCAAGTCTTAAGTGTGCAGCAAGTTGTTAAGGGACCAAGTACAGAACCTGAGCTGGTTACTGCCTCCTAAGGACGATGAGAAAGCACACTGTGATTCAGGACATTAGTTTCCTCTCCAGCCTGTTCCAGAAGGTACATAACAGCATGCTGTTTCTTACAGAAAAACATACCATCCCAATCTGCCCTCTAGACAGCAGTACCGTAGAAGTCACCCCATGTAATATATGTACC